TGGGGTTATGGGTCGAAAGCGTAAGTTTGATGTGGCCTTCCTCCCAATTACACGTTTGGGAAACTGCCAAAGGGGAACCGTTGAAGGCGATCTATAAAGCCAGAGGCAGTTATTATCATCACAATCAAAACTAATTATCATGGCATTTTCCTCTGCGTGGGTAGATGGCTTCCGTTCAGGATATTATCGCTTGAAAAAATCAGTTAGGGGAAAATCTTAAATTAATGTTTGAGACAGTTGTACTCAAGGTTTGTTTATCTTCTGAAAATTTTTGCTGCTAGTGGTACCATTCAAACTTGAAGTTGGTTGATTTTCTGTGACAGTAGGTTACGGTCTACTCACATTTTCATGAAATGTGCAAGGCAGCCGCTAAGACTTCGTTATCTTAATTAACAGCGGACATGTTCCGGTAGATTAACATCCGCGCCTCTTTTCATAGGTCGCCTTTAGTACGAAATGAAGGTAAGGGGTTGGTCGGTTTCTTAACACTGGGTGCAGCTATCACGCGCTGAAACTCTGTGTTACGTGGCATAGTAATTTACAATTTTATGCTTCAACGCGTTAGTGACCTATGGCAGTCTCTATTTACCACTAGTGAAATCCTTCCTCTGTCTCGAGGAACAGTGCGTTAGTCATTTACCTTTAATATCTCTATCAAACAGATTAAGTGGAGTTCATATTGTTAATCATCGCTTAGCCATCTTAGAGTCTCGGCAATTTCAAGGTGAATGAAGAACAGTTAAAAGTGCCTTTTTCATTTAGCTTCTCTTTTTGTTGCAAATATTCTTTTTTGACTTTGTTCCCCTCAAAATACGAGATTTTTTCAACTTTATTCAAAGATTTAAACTGCCAAAATGCTTCTTGGACTAAGCTAAGTAAAAAAAGTCTGTAAGTGGTCGTGCAAATTGGATCATGTTTTTTACTAATCACAATATTTACATTATTTTGATTCTAATCCTTGAGTAAACACTGAGTGAGTTTAAAGTACGTGACCTGAGGATATTGCGTAACAATGAGCTCTGTAGTTTTTTTTCAAACAATCCGAATAAGGTTTCTTCTTTCACGATCATGGTTAAAGGATCCACTCATCCACAAACGTGGTTACCCTTTCCCTCGATCAACTTAAAGCAGCCTTCATCACCAAGAATAAATAATAAAATAAGAAAACAGAAATGGACTGTTCGCTTTTAGCAGATGTATAGTTTGAAAGATAAGGTCGGGAAGGGGCCAGCTAACGACAAGCACCGTAATTTCCTCGTCAAGATGAGGCATTTCGGCCACTAACAGTACTTATCACTATTTTATGCGATAATATTGTTCTTTGAAATCGAAGAAGAAACTACTTCAAGCTGTCCAAGGAAAAGATGTTTGAATGGCTCAATTAAAGAGCGAAAAGGCAACAGAACATAACACGATAATTACAGTCCAAGCGCTAAAGTTAAGACGTTAGATTTTTAAGAATCTCGTTCACACACGAATACATCCAAAACTGGAATAAATAATATTCAAACAAATTTGCTTAGCTGCTTATCAGCTAAAGTTTTCTGCACATATTATGAATATTATCAATTGTCACTAATGGATTAAAGTCGGGCCTTGGACAGTTACCGGTAAATTATGTTTTTTAATTATGTGACTGCGTTGTTTTACGATATCTCTTGACGGCAAAATATTGAAGATTGCCAACATGATCATGAAATGATTATCTTTTGAAAGGAGCGTGAGACTTGTTACAAAGGTTTCGGTCAAAATGGTGGTAGTCAAAAGCGCTCTTGTTTAGGTAAGCGGTGCCTTTCGAGTAATAAGAGCTACGCGTGGGTAGATGCAGCCTGTAAATATTATCTTTGTGAGAATGGGGGTAGACAGTTTCTTTATCAAGAGAAATGAAATAAAAGTTTACAGTTCGTGGAAAACTATTTTGTCAATGACGCATATATATTTGTTTTCTGTGAAAGAAGTGTAACTTCCCTCAGGACATTCTCTACCTGTTACGTCACCTCTCTGATTTTAATCTAGCTCAAACATGGGCAGTGAGTGACCAGGAATCGATTTTATTTTTGTTTGTCGCGTATATTAAATTCGTATACCAGAACTTACCTAAGTAAAAAATCAAAGTGCTCTGGGAGCAAACTCGTGTTTGCAATTCACGAGTTAAAAAATGATTGAATTCCTCTGAAAAACCATTCAGGTTAATTATGTTTCGGACTCTTATCCAACAAGGCGGATTTTTTTATCTAATTTTCCACTTTTCGATAATGCTGCGAGAGCTCACTACAATTTTTTTCAAAAATAGAGGACCGGAAGTCAATATTTCCGACCGCTAAAATGGCAAAACTTGAATCACATGACATGCCCAACACTTTTCGACCGATGCTAAATGAAAATTTAACGCTAGGAAACTTACTATTTACTTAAGTGAAACTTAAAAGATGCTTACCATTCAATAATGTAACATCGTACTTTGGCGCTTTTACTTTTGCTACCGAGAAGAAGTTGATTTTTATTTGCTTTACTCTATTTACAATGAACGACAGAAGCGTTGACTTCCGGTTAAAAGTAAATGCAGCAAACCTTGGGTGAATCATTTTCCATTTACCAGGCAATTTGGTAAGTAGGCTGATAACCGGAGTTGGGAGAACCAATCAGAACCTCAGAAATGCCAGAGTCTTCAATTAATCGATGAGATGTATTTGTAGATGCATGGGTAATGTTTCTAGTTGGAAGTCAGTTCTGTATTTATCTCGAAAAAGCCAGGAAAAGGACTTTATTAAATGATTTTTTGGGCCAATTTTTCATGTACTGTGTATCGCGGCTCTGTTTTAAAGTTTAATACAGGAATTTCAAAGATATATTGTCTGGTTTTAATTAACAAATAGAGAAGCCTTGACTGGCTCTGTACTGTTATAAAGCACGCAGGAAGCGGCTAGAGCACGAAAGAAGTGTAGGCAGAAACACGTAGTGGAGTGTTTCTCCCCACTTCTCTATTTGTTTTATAATAAAGAATCCATTAAATTCCCCGAGTATTACTTTCAATTTTCAAAACAAATTTTATTTCCAAAGTGAACAACAGTGTTGTCAGCATGCTCTATACTCTCATAAAGCACGCTACAATGAGCCAATCAGAATCCCTGTTAGAATGGTTCAAACAATCTGATTGGCTGTACAAGACAAAACCTGTCAAAAGTGTCAAACCATCAAAGTTCAAAACCCATCAAAGGTCACAATCTGCAATAGTTTAGAAACTAAAATAGTTCGGGAGGTCGAATTTAACACTATTGCCTGAAGTTTTTAAGTCTCTAATACAGAATCTTGAATTGAAATGTTCAGTGAACTTCAGCCGAATTATGGCTCATAAAAACGCGTGAGTTTTTTCACATGTCAAGGTAGAAAACAAACTGTTCAAGGCGAGTGTTTTTGGAATGAACAACAGCCGAATTCACCGGAACATGAAGATCACTCGGGATGAAAGCGCCGCAAAACTCGACTGCAGTGACTGATGTGACTTTTCACTCAACGCATCGGAAAGGATATCAGAGCAAGCTCTTATTTTTTCACTCGAAGGGCGGCCGATGTAGTTTCTGATGCTTGCTTTACTGTGACGACGGGAGATCGCCATGATAAGCGAGCCGCGATGGACTTCAGCATGATCATATTCGCTCAGACACCGTCATGATTAGTATGAATTTTAATATTTACGCCAGTTTGCTTATATTTTTCATCATTTCTGTTTTGTTCTGTTTTGTTTTTACTTTATATACTATACGAGTGTTAGCTGTGTTGATTTTTATTACCGTACGTAATCTTGCAATTTAACTGAGCGCGAAAATATTTAAAACTCGGAATGTCTATTTTGTTTTTCCTTTGAGGATTTTTGCATTTGCTCACGTTTTAATAACGTAAATTACCGCGCCTGGTATGTTTACAAACCTTTGTTTGGTTCTTCTGTTGCTACTTGCCGGCTCGCTTCAGTTCCGAAATTTCACTTTCAATTATCGGAAAAAAGCTAAAAAGAAGTCTCGGAAAAGGTCGAACATAATACAATTTGGCAGATGGCGTGACAGCTTTAGTTCAGCGCTATGCTCTATACTCTCATAGAGCACTCTCTTTCAACCAATGACAGCGCGCGTTATATCCGAACTTTATTATAATGACGGTTAATAGTTAATCCCGTACGTACGTATGATAATTTTTCATCCGTTATTTTGATAAAAACAAATACTTGATGTATTGATCTCTATACAAATAAGAAGTAGTTTGGTCGGTTGTTTTAACCCGGATATGTCATATGTTAACTTCTTCTTCCTCGGTTATATGTACTGGGACGTCTTACCTTCATTAAATAAAAGATGAATAAGTCCCGAATTTGCATGAACGCGATTTGTGTTTTGATCTATTGGCCGAGCACTGGATATCATTTTCAAAAATGTGGCGACGATGCGAGTTACCACAAAAGCAAATATAAAGAACCAGTGAGGTTCTTGATATTGGGTTTTTCAGCTGAAGCCTTTAATTCTAAAATCACTAGGAGATCGATATCTGCTTTTAAGTTCGCAAGCGAAGAAACGAAAGTTCGAGGGAACAAAAAAAAAGAACAGGAAAGGATCGAGGAACGACAGAAGGAAGAAACGAGAACACAAGAGAAACAAAGAAAAACATAAACGAAGGTACGAGGGCACGAGGGGGCGAAGAAACAGAGAAAGGAACATGTTCAATAGAACAGAACGGCGGAACGAAGGTTTGAACAAATAAAGTATCGAAAAATCAAATTAAACAGTGGTGCTGTGTATGTGCAATAGGAGTGAAATCAGAATTGCTGCCTGACAGACTTAAATAATTTTTTGCAATTGAATCTAAATTGTGTTACAAATGGAGACTGTAAAGTTTGCTCGCTACCAATTGTTTGTTTCTGCATTTGTTTTTACGCACTTTCTGATTGCAATCTTTACACAGCGAGATTAAATTGGAATTTCATATAAAATCCAAGGAACCACAGATATTGTTTGGGAGTTATTTTGTGCAGCCTGGTTAAATATTTATCAATCATTTGTCCACACCATTGCGAGTTTAATATGTTTTACTGCCAACTTGTGTTTGTTAAATCTTGATGTGCCTGAAGTAGACCCCTGAATATTTAATCCTTCAAGAAATCTTTTAGCAGCTGGATATGAATGGGATATAACTTTATATTCAATCAAACAAACGAGCGAGTATGCTTTTAAAGCCGGCTTACATCAATGTTAAGAGTGGCTTCGACCAGTTAACTCTAGTGTATGTGAAAAAGAATCACTCTAGAAAAAAGAAACGAAGTCACCGCAAACGTCTACAACATATAAGATAGGCCGACACATTATGATAAATAGAATAATTATTTGGTTCACTTATGTCGGTACAATCTGACAGTTTTTAGGGAAAATTAATAACGCGGAGGGGAAAAAAAGATTTTGAGAAAGACTCCTCGGCCAGTAAAAAACAATCATTAAGTCAAATATATTACAGAAAGTACAACTCTACCTTTTTTTCACGTCGGCCACTTAAACTTTCTCCTCTCGAAGACTCTCTGTGGAAGAGCTTTCTTCCTTGACAATAAATTAAGTTGTGTAAGACAGCTCTAAAACCACTACGATAATTCTCGCTATAGATTGCGTAGATGAACGGATTAACAGCGCTTGTGGCTTGGCAAAGAAAATACCCAATAAATTGAATCACTCCACGGACAGAGCATCCCTCATTACCAGTATAAACTAGGAATTGAAATATGTATATCGGGAGCCAAAAAAGAGCGAAAACTACAATTACCGTGACAAGCATTTTAAGCACTTTCTTATTTGATTTCTCGACTTCTTGATAGTTGGCCTTTGCGCGAAATTTGACGGAATTCCCTCGCCATAACTCGATAACGATTGCCGTGTAAAGTACCGCTATAACTGTGAGTGGTCCTGCGTAAAGAAAGCCGAACTGGACGAAAGTGTAATCACTCCTAGCTTTGCTGCTGTTGAAAAGAGGCTCCCAGACTTCCTTACAAGTAAGTTTGTCGCTTCCGTCTTCCACGACAGTCCTGTTAGCATACAGAACAGGAGCTGTGAACACGGCGCCTATCAGCCAAGTAAGAGCGACGAGGACTTTTGTTGTCCGGCGGTTGATGATTTTTCGAAATGGAAACAGGATGGCGAAGAAACGGTCAAAGGCGATAGCGGTAAGAGATAATATGGAAACTGCTAGCGAGACTTGCTGTATGAAGGTGACAAGCTTGCAAATCAGGTCAGCTGTTATCCCACGAACCAACAAATAATCTCCTACGTAAATTGTTCGAATGGATGGAGGAGTTGTGAAGACCGCAAAGAACATGTCACTTACAGCCATGTTTACTATAATGAAATTTGTTGTTGTCCTCATTCGTCTTTTCTTGTACACCACCAGTATAACCAATGTATTTCCAAAGAGAGATGCAAGGATGATAACGCAGTAAGAAATTGTCTTCCAAGCTTTTGTTAAATCCGTGTCAGGACTTGTGGATGAGCAGAGCAAATCAGGTCTCGATGTACCATTTTCAAAAGTGTTATTGTTTGTCATATTTGAACCACCCATAGTATCCGAGACTGTTTTCAGAGCTTCGAAATATTTCTGTAATGAAAATACGTGATAAACTCGATATGTCTCTGTTTGCTCGACTCTTGAACTTTGTAACTGCAGCTGATGTACAGAATAATCTTAGCAGGGATATTCACCAAAGAGAGATCCGACGCTTTGTGGATAGTTCGACGAATTACACTGACACATCTAGACCGATGTAATTGGCTGTAAACAACCCAAGGTTTATTACTAGTCACAAATAGTTTAAACTCGTATTCGGAATCGACTGGCTAAATAAGTTTTTTTCCTCAATGTTGATTCAACAGTGATCTTCAGCGAGTAAATGTTAGCATATATAATAGGAAAAGAAAACCTAAAATTTGGAATTTTGTCGATTAAATGGCCTTTCGGTACCTTTGATCCCAAATGAGGTTTAAAACTTAGAGAAATAAACTCCACCCTACTGCTAGAGCTGAAAGACGCTTTTTTTGAGGTGCAAATGAAATAGCTGACACTTAATCCCAAACGCTTCCTGAGGCCTTTATCTACTCTGACAGTTTCGACCCTAATCCAAGCTTTTAGCTTCCAGTAGATGATTGTTTTGTCACAGAGACTTTACAAAAGGACGACGAAAATGGCGATTCTCACGTTATCTCAAAATATCTTCGCCTGGCTTGACTCGACAATTTCTCTTGATAAGATTGCACTGGGTCTGAAAACTTCATAAAGCGTTGTCCAAACTTGAACAAGAGGACAAAGGTCCGCTCTAAATAGCATGAACAATCTACACTCAGATAAGTAATGTTTTTTTTTTTCAAATTAAAATTTCTTGCCAACAGGTAAACATCATTTTTAAACAGAAGCCGAGAAAATGTCATTTGAGGTAAAGTAATATAGATTGTGATTTTCAAAAGCAAACAAAAGTCCTAAAAAAGAACCACATATTCGTGTAATTTATTCTGTACTTAAATTACTGATGATGTATTTTGGTGTTTTTAGTGAAAACTTAATCACGACATACAGGAGCGGACAAGCCCATCTGTCTACTTCTTGAAACGATCAATATTACACCTTTGATCATTGATTTAACACGTGACAGTTGGCTTTTAGCGCTCTTTGTATACAGATATTGATGAAAACATGCTCTAGAAATTTTCTTAATTGAAATTTACTCTTCTTCTTCTTCTATAAATAATTAATATGTATCAGTCAACTGAAGTTTTCTCTGACCTACTCCATCGGTTAAAAAACAATATTTTTCGAGCAAAGATGGTTTAATATTTTAAAATTTTATCTGTATTGTTTTACAAATGATTGATAAGGAGAAAAACTGCAAAACTCATAAAATGTAATTTTCAAATGGAATTCAGACTATCAGTCTTCACGTATTTTAGCATTACAAAGCAAGTTTCTGTCTATGTATCTTGAGGTTCAGTGAGCGTTGAACTAAACGCAGCTGCTGAAATTTGCTATAAAGGATTGTTATCTCAAAAAGCAGTTGAAAGAAAGTAATATGAAGTACTAATGACATGTTCATTATTTGTGACAAACACATCAGAACACGAAGATTGATTGCCCAGATCTAGTAACCAAAGGGTTGATGGTCTATGGCGGCAAAAATATCGCTCTGTGGTCGTTGGTTTCGTGAGGGGGATATCAGAAACGCATGTGGGAAAAATTTATGTTTACAAATGACCATTTAATGGGTGTTGAACAAAGGGAAAAAAAGAGGCGAAAGGTCCATTCAGTAGTCTGTTGCTGTTAAGACTTTATTACCTGAAAAATGACACGTCGTTATCCAACACTGTTGGATAGCTTTTTAGGTATAATGTTGGTAAACTTCATCTACGAAAATTCAAGGAAATAAGATCTCTGTTCAATACTTCGCATCTCACATATATTTATAAGACTCATGCCATATTTTAGTTCCTATGTATCACAACACCAAAGTAACGTTTAAAATCAATCAATTTGATTTTGTTACCGTGTTCAGTTTCAACTATTGGACCATACATTTGGGAGTTCAAGATACTGTACAAGAAGCTTTGACAGTAACCATCATTGTGGCCCAAAATGACCATTTAGACGACGACCTTTTATCTCCCCTGAACTTTAAGATTTCATGATATTATTACGGTACAACCTTTCGGGACTGCACTAATACTGACGTTCGGAGGAGGATATGAAATGGTGATTGAACTGAGTGCAGTGCAATTTGGTCTGAAATCATACTTGTGATTTCAAAATCGAGTATAATTTCAGAAAAAATACCTCGACACGAGGTCCAATTACCATTTAATTAAAGTTTTTTTAATCATTGTTAGCCTCTTCATGCGAACAAGTATTATTAATCTTAAAAAACAAGGACTATTCTACATGCTGTGATGCTGTTTAACGCGCGATGTTAATATTGAAAAAATTATTTGATTGAACAATATATACAAAGAATAGCACTCCTAGATCTGGAGTAATTTCGAAAGAGAGTTACGCAAGCTTGACTCTAGTTAGAAATTGTTACGTAGTCTTTGAGTTAGTTCAACGCAGCTTACACGATTTGTGACAATGCCTGATAACAAAGTCATACAAACTGTGTGTTGTGGTCCAACACAACTTTTTAAAGTAGTGGCAGGCTGGCAGTTCTGGACACTCTGGTTCATCTCCTGCAACTGACAAAATAACAAGATTAAATAACGGTAAGTGATTATCCGTCGTCTTGTTTTAATTCGATTTAGGCCGATTTCGAACAGATTTTTCCCTCGTTTTTTTTTTGCTGCGTAAAAGGCACAGATTAGCCTTTTTTAAGGACGCATTTTCAAGAAATCTTAAAAATTGCCTGAACAGTGGTTAAGAGAGACAAACTCAAATTAATTTTTACTCACAGTTATCTTCAAGGGATGCTGCATCTGTTGGGAGAAGGAAAGAGGAGTATAAGCCAAAGATTTTTTTGACAGATCGATTTGGAATGTAGTGTAAAAATATGGGATCGTGTCGTTACTATTATGATAACATGACAAAGTTACAACATTTCTTGCTTGAAACAGGTTAGTGAGGCATACAGATTTTTCGTTAAAAGGTACAGGGTTTGAAATCTTAGATGGTACACTCCACCTCAAGCATTCAAAAATATCCTCTCTTGTAGCGTCGGAGGATTCAAGGTCTACATGTAGACTCTTCTGAGGGTCGATAGTGGTAAATGAACGGTTTATTACAAACAGGGATAATAAAACTAAGCCCTAGTCCAGGTTTAAAAAAGTTAAAAACTGCTTTTGTAGGCTCTGCGTTATTTTAAGTGGCGAAGCAACATTAAGAGCAAAGGCATGCTAGACCTTCGGAAGCGTATCAAGATATCACGTTGGAAATCCCATTGGGAAGCTGGGTAGATCTCAGCTATCTGTGTAGTTTTTTCATTTGTCCTATACTCTGCAGTGTTTGATCGGCTCCTATTCGATGTAACTAAAATTATATCACGGCTAAGTCACATTGACATTAGGGTAAAATTAAGCGGTATTCGGGCTCTAGAATAGACGCGGCGGTGTAATATTTCATGTCGATTTTCATTATGGTCAAAAATGCTTCCTTCTATGAAATAGTTTTGGTAATCTCCCATAGATCTATCAGCCACCTGTTTCGAATGACAATTTTTGCTAAAATTTGCTTTCATTCGTGAAGAATGTGTGGTTGTTGACATGAATATGTGACTATGTAAATAGACTAGACACTTCGTACACCTTCACTGATCGATAGTTCTGTGTGGGCAGGAATATATAGACACGATAGTTTCCTTTTAGATTCGCGCGTATTTTTAAGGAATATTTTTATTTTCTTAGAACAATAGAAGACATTTCCCATTTTTTTTTCATAATATAATAATCAAATTATCGAAAGTTATCCACACCCTCGATTTTTCTTATACCTTCTCTGCTCGTGTTTACCTGTCTTTAAATTTACGTACGTAATTCTGTTACCTTCCTCGATGTATGGATCTTCTCCTAATTTATTTATGCTTGCCTCAAGACTTTGAACAATGCAGAAAAAGGCAATCAAGGCCAACGAAATCGTCATTTTCTCCATTTCTGAAGTGTCAAATCGAGACGGAAACACCACAGGGTTACTGTTTTGTCTTAAAAGCGGAACAATTTTGTATTCTTTTTAATCCGGAGTCGAGTCAGTGATAATTTACATAACGAAATTATGGCACGATTTTCTATTAACCACAAAAAATTTGTTTTAATTCCCAAAAAATCTTTTTGTATTTATCTGCAATAAATTTTGATTGCCAAGACAAATTGGATATGCATTAATTGATCTCCCCGTTAAAAACGAGGATTGAAGGCAATGATTTTGCGAACAAAAACAGATGGGAATACGCTGAAATACGATGGCATTCCACCGAAGTGTTACAAAAGTCTATCGCAGCAATTTCAGACTTACAAAACTGAAATTTCATATTTTAAGAGAAGTATTACGACTAAATTTTCATTCATAACGGGAAAATTTTAGCTCATTGTAATCATTAGTCAAGATAAATTGTACTAGGGGGTAAGTTTCTAAAGAAACAGTGGTGCTGCGTCGGTGGAAGAGTATGACAGGGTAATTAAATATTATCAACTGAGTTGATAACGTAAATTGACCATCGTAAAGAGTTTCAAAGCTGACGTTTCGAGCTTTAGCCCTTCTTCAGAGCAAGTGAATTGTACCAGCCTTTGTGAAAAAATCCAATACCTAATTTGTTGCAATCGCAACAAATAACGTTCACTTGTGGTCAAGTAGGGTGATAAAGAATATCACCGCATATCATATTATACAAAACTGATAATACAATGGATTGGGGATTGGTTGAATTATCAGCTTTTTTAATTTGCGGGATCCTTATTTTTACTTTCCCTAGTCCGAAAATTTGATAAAAGTAAGTCCTACAAGGAAAATATTATGTAACAAATTTAGAGTTATTTCGTCAATAATGATAACGGATCAGTTGTCCGCGCAAAGTCATCAAAATTATTCGAACTAATTGATACAGTATAAATCACGTTCAAATTGGGGTGTGAACAGCAAAAAACACCCAAAAACAGGAATCTACAAGCAATGTACTTTGTATCTCTTTTGCAGAGGTGAAATAAGGTCAACTTGAAAGGCCCATAAAAAAAGTCAACCATATATATATTTACAAATCACGATAACCATCATCTTAAAGTTTTAACCTTGTGGTTAAATTTCTTCAAATCGTTATCTTGGTCAGCCATAAGCGGTATTTGAGTTCAAGCTGTTTTTAAAACAAATGGAAATCTCTTAGCTTGGCCAATAATGTACCATGTACTTTTTTCGATACAAAACTTAAGGAAAAACATGTCATCAACTAAACGCCTTTGGAATTGAAGTGTGCACGTCTTGTATTCTGCAGCATACACCTTTATTGATATCTGACGGGCTAT